TAAAATAATGTGCTTTGTGGGTATCACAAGTAGATAACTGTTCAATCCATATTTACCCTTAAATGCATGTTATCAAGAACTTACGAGATACTGTTGCTAGAGATTGGGTTTGTATTTTATACAGGAAGGCCGGAATCATTGTCCAGTTTATCCTTTCTGCATAGAACTGGGGTGGCCTTGCATCCTTTAACCACTGTCAGATTGGTAGTGGGCAGAGCAGAGCAAGGCCACATCAGCACCCTGTGGTTTAGGTGAGGAAGCCAGTCAGGTAGGGAAATAAGACACAGAAAACTGCTCATTGCCCCCACAAGACTCATCTGATCTAATTTTATTTTCCTAAGACTTTCTAAAACCTCTCAATTTTGGGGTGGTTATAAGTTTGGCGTTTAACGGCCTTTTGATTGATACCTCAATGTGCCTTACTGACTCCCACAGCAGAGTTAGCACTAGTTAACTTCTTGAAAACCAGCCTTTTCTAATATAAGTTGACTGAAAATAAATTTGAATTTTTTGAAGGTGGTGCTATATAGTGTGATACCATTGTTACAAGAGACTACCTGGACATAAACATCTTATATTGTTAGTTGTGAGTTGAAGTCCATACATGTTGAGACTATTTTAAAAGTTAGAAAATGTCTTGGATGCCTTTGTTACCCAAGTGTATGGTATATACTCAAGTATCCATTAAATGATATGAAGAATGTTTTCAGTCTGCAATTGCATTCTGTTTTGTGAGATGGTATCAGCCTTGGAATTTCTAACAATTTTGCCTAATTTTTCCTCTTCACTATATCTAGTTTCTCAGCAGTTTTCAACTTCAGACCTGACACATGGAAGCACAAAGTATTTACATTTTTTCCGCTTACAAAAATGGACTTGACTTTAAACTGTAATGGATATTGGGAGGTACAGGGGACATAAAGACTTGATGATCAGGAATTTGTTTTTCCTAATGGTAATTGGGTTACATAGTTATGAATATTGAGTGTTTGGTTGTATACATAGAGAATGCATAGATAAATAATATGAGCACTTTGTGTGTCAGGCACAGCACTTACACTTGTTAAGTGCCATTGAATCAGTTTCAACTTGTGGCAACCCTATGCACACTGCCTGGTCCTGTGCCACCATCCTTACAACATTTGTTTCACTTGAGCCCACTGCTGCTACCACTGTCGCAGTCCATCTCGTTGGGGATCTTCCCCTTTTTTTTTCGTTGACCCTCTACCTAGCATGATGTCCTTCTCCAGGACTGATCCCTCTTGATAATATACCTGAAGTACGTGAGATGAAGGCTGTCCATCCTGGCTTCTAGGAAGCATTCTGGTTGTACTTCTAACACAGATTTATTTGTTCTTTGAGCAGTCCGTGGTACTTTTAATTTGGAGAATGCATCAATACTACTTCGGTTTTCCTTATTCTCTGTCCAGCTTTCAAATGCACATTAAGCTATTGAAAATACCATTGTCTTGAGTCCAGGGGTGTCTTAGTCCTCAACCAGACATCTTTCTCTTGACACTTTAAAGAGGTTATTAATGAGTCTTCCTCCAATCCTGGTACCATGTTCCTCATATATAATCAAGCTTCTCAGATATTCTCAGCATACTGATTAAATAAGTATGGTGAAATACTCCAACCCTGGTGAACACCTTACCTAATTGTAAACCATTCCGTGTCCCCTTGTTCTGTGCAAATAACTGCCGTTAGGTCTATGTACAAGGTCCTCATGAGCACAACTAAGTATTCTAGAATACTTATTCTGTGCAGCATTGTCCACAGCTTGTCTTGTCGAAAGCCTTTGCATAGTCAGTAAAGTGTACAGGTAAACGTCTTTCTGATATTCTCTTCTTTCAGCCAAGATCCATTGGACATCAGCAGTGATATCCCTCATTCCATTTCCTCATCTGAGTCCAGCTTGAACCCCTTGCAGCCATTTTTCAGTTATCTTTAGCATAATTTTACTTGCATGTGATATGATAATGTCCAATGATTTCCACGTTCCGTTGGGTCACCTCTCTTTGGAATGGGCACAGATATGGATATCTTTCCATGAGTTGGCCAGATAGCTGTCTTGCAAATTTCTTGGCATAAATGAATGCATGCCTCCATTGCTGCATCATTTGTTGAAAGATTTCTCTTTATATTCCATCAATTCCCAGAGTCTTGTTCTTTCCAGTGCCTTCAGTGCATCTTTGACTTCTTCCTTCAGTTCCATTGCTTCTTGATCATATGGTTAGACATCTGCCATTTCTTTTTGGTACTGTGACTCTGTATTCCTTCCATTTTCTTTTGATGCTTTCTGCATCATTCAATATTTTGCCTTTAGAGTCTCATTATGGCAAGTCAAGGCTTGAGGTTTTTTGTTTTTGTTTTCCAGTTCTTTCAGCTTGAAAAATGTTGAGTGTGTTCTTCACTTTTGGTTTTTTAAGTCCAGATCTTTGCACATGGCATTATAATATTTGGCTTTGTCTTCTCAAGCTGCCCTTTGAAATTTTCTGCTCAGCTCTTTTTCCTCCTCATTTCTTCCATTTGTTTTAACATCTCTACTCTGGTAGCATAGTGGTTACGAATCGGGCTGCGAACCGCACGGTTAGTAGTTCGAAACTACCAGTTGTTCCGTGGGAGAAAGATGAGGCTTTCTGCTCCCATAAAGATTTACAGCCTCGGAAACCCTGTACAGGGTTGCTATGAGTCAGAACCGACTCCACAGCACATAACAACAACTCTGGAGAGCAAGTTTCAGAGTCTCTTCAGACATTCATTTTGGTCATTTTCTTCTTTCTTGTCTTCTTACTGACCTTTTGCTTTCTTCCAGTATGATGTTCTTGATGTTACCCCACAACTCTGACCTGGCCTTGTTTTGGCGGGTGACATGGAACTTGTCCACCGTCACTTTCCACAGATGTAGTGAATCTGATTTGTATGTATTCCATCTGGTGAGGTCCATGTGTATAGTTTTTTTTTTGTTTTGTTTTGTTTTTTTATGTTGTTTTAAAAAGGTATTTGCAGTGAAGGCATTGGTCTTGCAAAATTCTGTCATGCAATCTCTAGCATCGTTTCTGTCACTAAGGCCATATTTCCAATGACTGATCCCTCCTCTCTGTTTCCTACCTTTGCATTTCAATCACCAGTAATTATCAATTCTTGATTGCATGTTTGATCAGTGTCATACTGTAGAAATTGGTAGAAATCTTCCATTTCATCTTCTCTGGCTTTAGTGTTTGGCTCATAGATTTGAATAATGGTATTATTAACTGGTCTTCCTTGTAGGCATAAAGATACTATTCTACTACCAACAGCATTATACTTCGAGATGGATCTTGGGGTGTTCTTTTTGATGGTGAATGCGACACCAGTTCCCTTCAATTTGTCATTTCTAGCATTTTCATATGATTGTTAGATTCAGTATCACTAATACCAGTCCATTTCAGCTCATGAATGCCTAGGCTATCATTCTTTATATGTTCTATTTAATTTTTGACTTCTAGTTTTCTTAGATTCATACTTCATACACTCCATGATCTGATTTTAAAAGGATGGTTCTCCTCATTTTTGAGTTGTTCCCCATCAGCAAATGAAGGTTCTGAAAGCTTTTCTCCATTTGCATCATCATTTGTTGTTAAGTGCTGTCTACTCAATTCTGACCCATAGCAACCCTGTATAGGGTTTCCAAGGAGTAGCTGGTGAGCTTGAACTGCTGACCTTGCAGTTCAAACAGCTGTACAGTCTGGCACATTAATCCACATCGCCACACCAGGACTCCTGCATCATTATAGTCAACTCTAATTTGCGAAGGCAGCCCTTCCCAGGTTGTAATTTGAGTGCCTTCCAACCTAAAGGGCTAATAGTCTTCCAGCACATATCTAACTGTTCCACTGCTGTTCAGAAGGTTTTAAGTGACCAGCCATGCAGAAGTAGGCTGCCTCTCCTGTCTAGTCTATCTTAGCCTGGAAACTCTGCTGAAGCCTGTCCACCATGGGTGACACTTCTGATATTTAAAATCTCATTGGCTTAGTTTCCAGCATCACAGCAACACATATAAGCCACCACAGTATGACAGAACGACAGATGAGCTGTGGTTGCCACCTTTGGAAGAATGTGTTAAAGGTGAATGAATGAACCAACAACATGGTCTAATAATAGTCTTTGACTTAGCAAGTTACACATTACACTGTGCTTTGAAAAAGAATTGTAAAAATTACGTTCTGTATGGACCTTTATCTTTTAAATGTTAAAGTGATGCTTTTTGCGTATCAACTATATAATTTCATAATAAAGATTGAGGGCAACATGGAATCAGAGACTTCCCTCTTGGTATGCTCAATGTTCTTGATTTTTCTGTATCAGTGACCTCATTTTTCTCCTAGTATTAAAGTCAAATGAAGGAGCACAGTAGCTCCATACAATAAGCACTGGACTGCAAACCACAAGTCATCGGTTCAAGACCACCACACACTGCATGGGAGAAACAAGATTTTCTGCTCCCACCGACATGTAAAGCCTTGGAAACCCTACACAGCATCACTATGAGTCAGAACTGACTCAGTGTCACTTAACAATAAAATCAAATAACAAAAGATGTGTAAAATTTTCTTAAGAGTGCACATAAAAACTATTTGGCTTGGATAGTTAAACTGAGGTCAGCCCCTTATCCCATAAGACTTAAGCATATTGCATTTCTCAAGTGTTTAAGTATTCTGAGTCATAAACAACTAATAATGAATGCTATAGAAGAGTTTGGCATACTGTTTTATGTAAGATTGATACATTACAATGAACTTTTCCAGCTTATTATGAACCTCTGCTGTATTAGATATGAAAACTCCTTAAGTAATTACCAAAATGATTTCTGGGCCCTCCTATTAAGTATATGTAAATTGGCAAACAGTATGAAATGTGAAGATAATTGTGTTGTTTTTCAGTTTGCTCTGAGCGTCAAAGGGAATAGTTGAAGAAGGCCGTCTTCTGAGTTGCTCATATTTTTTGTTGTTGCATTATAGGCACTCAAGGAGTTGCACCTGGTCCTGTGATTGGGCTTCAAGCACCATCTACTGGTCTTCTTGGTGCGCGACCTGGTCTGATCCCACTCCAGCGGCCTCCAGGAATGCCTCCACCTCATCTACAGCGATTTCCCTTGATGCCCCCCCGTCCTATGCCACCACATATGATGCATAGAGGGCCACCCCCAGGACCAGGGGGCTTTGGAATGCCTCCACCACACGGAATGAAAGGTCCCTTTCCACCACATGGCCCCTTCGTTAGGCCTGGGGGAATGCCAGGGCTCGGGGGCCCAGGCCCAGGCCCAGGGGGCCCTGAAGACAGAGATGGAAGGCAGCCACAACCACAGCAGCAGCAACCGCCGCCCCCACAACCACAGCAACAGCCGCCGCCATCACAACCACCACCAACACAGCAGCAACCACAGCAGTTTAGGAATGATAATAGGCAGCAGTTTAATTCAGGTAGAGACCAAGAAAGGTTTGGAAGAAGATCTTTTGGAAATAGGGTGGAAAATGATCGAGAGCGGTATGGGAATCGGAATGATGATAGAGATAACAGTAATCGAGAAAGGCGAGAGTGGGGAAGGAGGAGCCCTGACCGGGACAGGCACAGAGACTTGGAAGAAAGAAATAGACGCTCTAGTGGGCATCGAGACAGAGAGAGAGATTCTAGAGATAGAGAGTCTCGTAGAGAGAAAGAAGAAAACCGAGGAAAGGAAAAGCCTGAGGTGACAGACAGGGCAGGTGGTAACAAAACCACTGAACCTCCCATTAGTCAAGTGGGAAATGTAGACACTGTTTCAGAACTTGATAAGGGGGAATCTGCGGCTGCAGTTGTAAAACCTTCTGAAGAGTCACCTGCTGAGGCTACCTCATCCGTTGAACCTGAAAAGGATTCTGGCTCAGCAGCAGAGGCTCCTCGTTAGAGACTGGAATTGGTCCAAATGTGACGGTGGCACTTCTGGAGTGTAGTGCGAGGTGTACAGATGCTGTATTATATTTGCTCCTGCTATATCACAACCCTGCAGTAGTTGGTGGGGAGTTGTAAGCAATTTGATTGCTTCCCTTCTATTTAAAAATAGCCACAAAATAACAAAAAAATACTGAAAATATGGTTAAATATTACCCTTTTTGCTGTAACTTTTTTAAAGTTTTGACTTTAAAAAGTTTACAAACCGTAATTAGAAGTGCTCTATTTTTTTTTTTTTTTTTTTTTTTTTTTAATTTAAGACAAGGTAATGGTGAAAGCTCCTCAAAACAATAGGGATGTTTTTAATAAACTCTATTTTCGTAACAAACTTTAATGTGTGCTATTCTTCCTATATTGCATTAAGGTGGAAAAGGACTGTTCAGCCTCAAAGTTTGCACTGTTAATACTGTATTGAAGTCTAAATTAGACTAAGATGGAAGTAAACATCTACATAGTTAAACATTCTAATTTGTAATACTTTTGATTTTCAGCATTTCAATTATCAGGTACAAGTTAATGGTTTTAATGTTAATTGAATAACTCATTGTTAGTGTTTGTGATTCAATCAAAGTGGTTCTTACACCCTATTGGCTTTGTAGTAAATATTGCCATAATTTGAAGAGAAATTTTGGTAGGGGAGAAGTTGGATCCCATCACATACTGTACTATAAATTGATAGCCTAGGTATTACTTAGAAGATTGGTTGTTTTTTAACCATCCCATTAATTTTTTTGAAAGGATAAAATCAAGGTTAACATCTGCATCCTAAAATCTTTTAAAATGTAACCTGTTTCCTGTTAACGCCCATCTGTTGATTTTTTCTTTTTTTTTTTTTAACTCCCCTACTGGGCAGAGAGGTATGCTCAACTTTATCACATTTAAGGTACTTTAATAAAGTTGTTGGGTTAACTAAGAAAATACTTTTAGATTATATAGTAATTATTACAGGAAGGCATTCAAAGACAAATCAAACCTTTCAGTACAGAAAAGCAGATAGTTAATTCAACTGCTTACCCAGTGCCAAGGAAAATCCAAGTATTTATAACCTTTTTAAAGCATTTTTCATAAATACTTCTGAACTTTCATGTAGTGGGTTATGCTTTGGGCTGCGAACTGTAATGTCAGCAGTTTGAATCCACTAGCTGTTCTGTGGGGTAAAAATGAGGCTTTCTGTTTCCCTAAAGATATAGAGCCTCAGAGACCTTATGCAGGCTGGTGTGAGTGGGAACCGACTTGATGACAGCAGCGGCAGTCCTCGTTTCAGTTATGTTTGGCAGTTTATTCTCCCTTTGCCCTCATCCCCAGGTAAAGCTGCTTTATTAATAATTCTCTGCAGCTTTAAGGTCTTTTTATCTAGGATAACATTGCTGTGTCCGACTATTAGGAAATAGAAGGATATCCCAGATTTGTAGGCTTAAATCATAAAATTTGCCCTCTGTTGGCTAAGAAAAAGAACCTGAAACTGTCTCTAGAAAGAAGATTGCAAGGACTTCAGCGCCTATTCAAAGTATTAAGTATCCCCTCCCCCAGTTTACACTTGACAATTACAACCCTGAAAGTGAGGCCTTACAAGGACACAGGCAAGTCCTTGCATATTTTGAACACACTATACAACTTTCCCCAATTATTTGTTGTTCACAATGATCCAGATTTGAAAATCTACATCATACATTTGTGATGTTAACAGGATTGTAGCTACTTGTGGCTTTTAACAAAAAATCTTTGTCAACTGAACAGCTGTGACCAGGTCAGTTAGATTTGCCTTTAATCTAGAAGCACTCTTACACAGTTGCATAATTAAGAGACGTAGACTTAAGGGAAACCCCCTAACTGGGTGTGTAAATCCTATAGTTTTTTTAATTTGTTAGAATCCATAATCAAACATTCCTTTGATTCCATGTTACAATGTGTATATAAAGGGCTATAATCTGATTTTACCAACCTCTACTTTTATTACAAACTAAATGGTCACAGATCTACAAAAGTGGAAATGTGCCATTTTGGCAGGTAGGTAAATCTTATTTTTGCCTAACCAAGGCCGTAACTTGCCTTAATACAATTTCAAGAGTTAACCAAGGGGCTGTCTTTACACTGTGGCATCTAGTTTGAAAAATAGGTACTTCAATCAAAATGCTAACTGACAAAGGGAAACCTATTTGTTGTTAAATTAGTCACTTTCAAGACTTAGCCTTTGGTCTTGTACATAATGATGTTGGTGTTAATGAGGGTCTCATTAAAAACACTTTCATAAAGGAAGCTCTATTAAGCAGTTAACACCATACTACTAAATCTGTTCCATCCAAGATCTAAATGATTCTGGAAGCTAATTCAAACAGCTAATGTTTAATACCCATATGTGACTAACATTGGCAAAATACAAAGATCACTGAAACATTTTAATTAAGAATTTTATAAAACTATACAAATCTTTCAAGTAGTCATCAATCATTTCAAATCACAGGTACTTAAATTAAAAACAAAGTCACACAAGTAAGCTTTTAAGAATACATATTTAATGTTCATCAGGTTAAATTTCTACAGTTAGCAAGATAACAGATCCGTTACTAAATCTCAGATCATGTCCTAAGGAATGTTTGTTTAGTGGGTGATGCCAATCACACCACAAGCCAGACGACTTCCAGCATTTCCCGTCTTTGTACTTTCTTCATTTCCACCTTGGCCCAAGTCATCCTCTTTTTCATGGACCTTAAAAAACAAAAACGAACATATAACTTTGTGCTATAAAGAAATGATCACTTCTCAACAACACCCAAAAGACCTTTAACAACCACTTAATATTACTTAAGAAAATCTTATTAGAAAGAAAACATAATATTTTGTAGTAAAAATTAGAAACTGCTACTTAAAAGCTTTTTCTTGATGGTTCAAATCTATTCTGAGAGGCCTATTGTTCCGAGTTGGTTCCGACCCATAGTGACCCAGTCAGTACAGGGTTTCCAAGGAGTGACTGGTGAATCTGAACCACCAACCTTGTAGCTCAAACAGACCTTGCAGTCCTGACACCACACCAAGACTCACTCGGAGAGGCCTACATTACCTTTCATTTGAACACTAGGTAAATGTTGCTGTCTAAATTAAATACTAAAACCCAACAACTGTGCTACAGGCCACCACATGCTGGTTGTAATCCTCCAAGACAAAAATATAGTAACCTCAGTCACACTATAAATTACTTTGAGGGACAAAAAAGAATAAAACAAAACTCAAAAGCTCGTGCCTAAAAGAACTGAGGCCTATAAAAGGTAATCCTAAAAGTATCTTCAACTACCTAAAGAATGAATTTTACATTTTGTTAAATATTTTTTTGGTTCACAACTATGGAAGAAGCAAATGTAAAGGATGAGGGCCAACTAAAAGTGATTTTTGAATGTTAACTGATTCAGGTGTGAGCAAAAGAGCAGATACTACTGGTTGCTTTGCATTTATCAGTTGTGGCTTCTTAAGGGTAATTTGGGACAATTTATGCCTGTTGTTGTTAAGTACTATTGAGTCGGTTCGGACTGATAGTGATCCTGTACAGGGTTTCCAAGGAGCAGCTGGTAGGTTTGAACCATAAACCCTGCAGCTCAAACTGACCTTGCAATCTAGTGCATTATCCTGCAGCGCCAAACCCTCTCTTAAACAAAAGAAAACCTGTTGTTGGCCATCTAGTTGATTCCAACTCATACAGAGTAACACTGTATAGGGTTTCTGTGGAGTGGTTGGTGGATTTGAACGGCTGACTTTGTGGTTAGCCAATCCAGTGCTTATCCTACAGCACCACAACAGCACCAAATTTTAAGGGAAACCTAGTTGTGGCAATAAAATCTGACAGTTTCAAAACTAGGAAAAGACTACTTTGTTTTTCCAATTTAGATCTAACAGGATCAAATATGAGGGAGTTTTAAAAGATTGTGGAGAAGTTCCATTATCACTTAATTCCATTTTCCATTAACTTTTAAGAAACTTCCTCATAAAACCATTATTACTGCATCTTAGCAAAGCAGTGTTTTTAATTGATCTAGCTCTATAATCCAAAAAGTCGCTTTTATCCTAATCTGAACTAAAGCTGCCATTTATGTGGCTCCTTAGAAACCAGAACTAATAATCATAAAATTACAAAGGATAAATGCCTGTGTGTTAGAAGAAACTTTAGGACATCCTGTCGTCTCAACACTTACCACCATTGTGCGGCCAATGATGGAATTGTCTCCTACGAGCGAGATCTGAGCGTCTTCAATAGACACATTAGCCACACCATCTTTGCCAGCAGTCACATTGCCCAGGTCTCCAACATGCCTTACATTGAAAAAGTATGATGAGTTAGGGCTAATTTCGATTTAACATCATGATTTAAGCTCATGGCAATTAATCCTTGTCCTTACATTTAAAGTCTTCCTGAAAAGCTCTCAGGAAACACACAAACACAAATGGAATCTCACCTAGCTTTCAGTATCCAATTTTATCTACAAAAGCTGCTCATGTTTCACAACAGTGGGTTTATATTTCCCTAATGGTTGACAGTAATGTTATTGGCATTTCCTGTATTGGTTCCCTTTGGCATTTGTATTAGTTCTGTTATTTAATAAATGCTACAAAACCAAATTGTTTTAAGTGTTCTATTTGTCAACTCCTTAGTCTAATGAATGAGCCATTCCAGCACTTGAGGGACAAGGGGTTATGTGTAGGACAACTAATTCAAGAGCAGAGGTAGGGGCGACCATTCTCATTTAACATGCAAGTGGGATCAGATACGCATATCAACCCCCAAACCCACCATTACATTAGTTCAACATCTTGTCACTCACCTCTCTTCACTCTTTGGACCACCATGTTTTTTGGATAGGGGATTAAAGTGAGGACCAGCACTGGTACAGCCTATTCACGCACAAAAAAGGGGATCAACTCAATTATGGATCAAAATTACATAATTTCAAAAGAAACCAATCATTGCTAAAACCTCAAATGGAGAAAACATCACCAGCATCCTGATTTCTTGCAACACTTAGCAATAAAGTTACTGGGCAGAGTGTAGAGACAGGTTCTCTAATTTCAATATGACATTGGTAAAGGCTCTCTTACAATGAATGTATTGTTTTTTGGGCTTTGGCTTTTTCACTGTAAATATGGAGGTCAGACTTGATCTTTAAGAGTTCTTCCATTGTTAAAATCTTATGATGATAATCCTAATAATTTTAGAAGGAAGTATGCCTTAGCTATCCAAAAAAAAGGCGTCTCACCAACACATTGTGTATGTAGCCTTTATTTGGTTCATGTAGAAGCTAACATAGCAACTTATGTTCAGGTGCCACAACCGCTGCCTGGCACAACTCCAGGGACAGCAGTCACTCAAACTAAGCTGTCCAGATGCCACTACTGATTACAAGTGCCAAGAGTGTAGGGCTTCTTTCCTAACACACCGGTTTTATTCAACAACCAATGGAAAATTTCCATTATTTACATCCTCCAACCCAGCCTCCTGAGAATCCCACAAAGGGAGAAAGGCAGAGAGGTTATAGGAACTAAGAAAATAGGCAAAGGTTGCATAACAATCTTCCCCCAACACCACGATATAGAAAAACTCAGAAGCAACTTGAGGAATTTTAGTAATTACTGAGACAAATCGAATCTGGTCATTAAATCATTATTTGGAACTCTAGCAAAATGAATCAAGGTATCATTAAAAAGTCTGTAAATATTAAATTCAGATTATTACTCAAACATAGCAAATATCACTAACTGTACTTTAACCCATAAACTCATTAACTTGTGTCTTAATTCCAAAATGAAACTCATTCCAAAGTACCAAGAACTTATTTTCCAATTTGTTTGTATCCTCCTTTTGTCCATGACAGATCTTGTGCTGGGGAAAAGAGTGTAGAGCTACACTTACAGAAAAACAAAAATGTAGACTTTGTGCTTTAAACACCCACCCTCAGCCCCCACAGGAACCCTAGTGGGGCAGTGGTTAAGTGTGTGGCTATTAACTGAAAAGTCAGAAGTTCAAACCCACCAGGCACTCAGTGTACAAAAGATGTGGTGGTACTGTGCTTCTGTAAAGATTTCCAGCCTTGGAAACCCCATAGGGCAGTCCTCCTCTGTCCTACAGGGTCACTACGAATCAGAATTGATTCAGTGTCGCACCACTCAGCCCCCAGTTCATAAACGTGGGCAGAAGATAATGAACTTAAGTTTTTTGTTTTCTAAAAACATAGCTGGGACTCTTACATAATTCAAGCCTAAATCATATAAACAAGAAAACCATCAACTTCTTCCCCTTTCTTTCCACACGTATGTATCAAATTAGGATTAACTTTAGTAGTCACTATAATTTACCTTCCGGGGAACTGCTGGTAGTTTCAAACTGCTGACCTTTAGGTTGGCAGCCCAACTTGTAACCTGGAAACCCTGTGCAGGGTCATTGTGAGTCGAAATTGACTCCACGGTACTTAAAAACAACAACATAACTTGCCTATTTTCACAGGTTGAGGATTTTAACGTTTGGGAATTACCCTGGTTATCTTACTATGGTAAGCAGTACAGATCACCAATCACCACTCACCTTGTGTATTATCTCCAAACTGGTGAACATGAAATCCATGGAGGCCTTCTGTCAACCCTGTGATGCGTCCCGATACCAAGACATGCCCGCTTCCCTTTATTCAAAGAAAAGTGAAGTTAGAGAGAGCAAGAGCTTTTGAATAAAATATTGGGTTTATCTCTATCACTCACAATACTGTGAAAAGATCAGACTTGAGTCAAAACAACCCATGACCAAATCACCTTCTAGCAGTGAGCTGCTAGCATGTTGCCCAACTGTTCTAGGCCTTAGTGTCTCTGTCAAAAGGAAGATGATACTCCCGTTAAAATCCTCACTGGTCAGGACCCTGTGGCCAGGCATGATGATCAAATAAAACAGCATCCAGAAAGCACCTATTAGAATGCCAATAGTGTGCACAAGGAACACTTAAATGTTAGACTGATATACTTTGTAGGGTCTGACTCTCTTACAATGAATATGGAATATTAGTAAATAAGTGTTGATTTTGTAAACACTTGTAAAATAGGTTATGTTGTGACAATGTAGGATAAGCACTGAACCCGACTGGACAGCATCAGGCAACATCAAATTTTTGAACCCAAGCGTTAGCACATCACATATTTTTATTAGTACCTTGTTTTCTTCATATCTACTGTCCTAGGTGGCTTTCTCTAAAAAAGGTACCTTAGAAATGCCCAACTGACTACATAAGAACTCTGATCTCTAAGCCTGATGACTAAGCCAAGCACAACATTTTTTCCAACTGGTAGCTTCAGGAGGGTTCATGCACAATCTAATCACAAGTAATTTACTAGCTCTACATATTTTGCAATCTTACTGACAATGAATATTCCTGTTTACACTGGAGACCTGGTATGGCGCTGTGGATTAATGAGCCAGACTGCAAAGCCGTTCGGCACTGCAAGGTCAGTGGTTCAAGCTCAACAGCTGCTCCTCGGAAACTCTGGGTCGGAATCGATTCAACGGCTCTTAACAACTTTGTTTTACAAGATTTGTTCAGTTTGACTATCTCAGCAATCTGGCTACTGGTACAGCAATTCCAGAGTCACTTTGTACAGAGCATTTGGCTACAGGAACGCTCCAAAATCAAAGTTACTGATAATCCGAACAGTTTCTAATTAATTTCCATATCCCAACTCGACCAGCTAACCTCTCTCTACCCAAAGTGGTTCTCAATCCTGAGCACACATCTGAGTCACCTTGGAAACTTTTGGAAAATAGCAATGTTCAGATTGCACCCCAGAGATTCTGAAATAGTTGGTCTGGGGCTGGGCTCTGCTACCTGCACATTGTTATGCTCCCAGGTGAGTCCACTGTGCATCCGGGGTTTAGAATCACTGCTTTGGAAATACTTCTATCAGGGCCATCTTCTTAGCCACTGCGGCCCAAAGGTGACTAGGACAGGTAGAGATCTGCAAACTTTTCTCTAAAAGGTTACAAATGGCCTCTGTCGCAAACAGGTTTTTTGTTTTGTTTTTAATAACCCCTTAAAAATATAAAAACCACTGTTAGCCAGAACCGGCTATATGCTAGCTTACGCCGCAGACCACCATGTGCAGAGCCCTGACATACAGACATGAAATGGGAAGGGTTACCCCAAGAGGTTCGCGAATGCTACACAGCTAGAACACCTCGCTGGCTTCGACCACTAGCCTGCGCAACTCAAGAGTCCGAGAGATCCACAGGACCAAGAAAATGAACACGCAGAGAACGTCAAGTCCCTGCCTCGGCCGGCAGACCCCGAAACAGCGGCCGGGGCCTGGGGCATCCTCCCGTGTCCCGCTCCTTTCCCCGCGTTCCCGCCCCGCGCCCTCGTCTAGCCCAGGGGCCCGGGCCCGCCCCGTGACTCAGCACTTAGCGGCCGCGCGCTGATAGCGGCCCCGGGCGACGCGCCACTTCAGGACAGAGGCCCGGCGGGGGCGTGGCGAGGGCGGCTCGCACCGGCTTGGCCCCATTTCCGAGCGCAGATGCGCGTGTCGGCGAGCACGGCCTTGCCGCGAGTCTCTGCATCAGCCCTTGCCTTCTGCTCGAAGTGGATGGTGCCCTGCACCGGGCCGTCACCCTTCAGCACGCACACGGCCTTGGTCGCCATTACTGATAGCTTCTCGGTCCGAGGTCCAAGGGCGCGAAGTGAAAACGTAGCATGCGCGAGAAATACACGCACCAAGAGACGCCGGAGCAAACCGAGGCTGCCGCTGAGCTCGGGCTTTATAGCCCGGACTCGAATCCCCGCCCATCCTGACTCGGAACCAATCGCAACACACGCATGGCCCGCCCTCACGGAGGCGTCGGCACGCTAGTGGCAGAATTTACATGGGCGGGGCAAAAGGGCAGCTTGGTGAACTTTGTCCTGGGCGCTGCAGCTTCCTCCCCTATCTAGCGGTGAGACGACCAGAAATCTAAACCTCGGGAAAAACAGGCTTTTACTTCCAAGGGGTGTTAATTGTGGATTGCAGTATGTGAATTGGGAAAATGAGGTGTTCATGGTGTCTTCTTAGTTATCTAGTGTTACTGTTGAAGAAATACCACAAGTGGATGACTTGAACAAACATTTCTCTCACAGTTTAAGAGGCTAGGTGGAAGTCTGAATTCAGGACACTTTCTGCTCCCGGCTCTTCTTTCTTGGTGGTAGTAGGTTCCCCTGATCTCGGCTCACGGTTTAATCTCCTTTTTATTTCAAAAAGTTTGACCCCAAATACAACTTAATCCTGTAGATTGAATTAACTTCATGGTGGTGGTCAGGGTTCTGACTAAGAGTGACCGGGTGTAGAGTAGAGATTCCCGAGGGAGCAGAAAGCCTCATTTTACTTCCTTGGAGTCGCTGGTGGTGGTTAAGTGCCATAGAGTCGATTCCAATCTGTAGCGACCCTGTATAGGGTTTCCGAGGAGCAGGTCGTGAGCCTGAACCGTCCACCTTGAGGTTCAAAAGCGACTTTGCAGTCCAGCGCTTTAACCTACGCTACGCCAGGGATCCCAGAGCTGCTGGTGGCTGGTAGACTCAAACATACATGAGAGGTAATTACATAATACCGAGAATACATGATATGCCTTAAAGTCAATTTGTCTAGAAAAATCATTAAGTATAACTGATTCTAATGAACATCTGTT